TACTTAAGTTTAAATCTAAGACATTATATTCTCCTGTTTTTCTAAGCCAAAGACCAAAAGCATAGCAACGTTCTTCCATCATGCTAACAAGAAAGCATGATACATGCTTCCTAAAAGTGCTCAAGTCAGCTTCCTGACGTCCAGACTATTAACTGCGATGGATCATACTCATACCCCAATGCTTTTTTAGTTCTGATTCTTCCAATAACTTCACAGAATACATCACATCACTGCCACTTCCCAGAAAAATAACGTGAGGCAAAGAAAGTGTATTTGGATACAAGCTAGGCCACCATAACAAAAAGATACAAAAGTAAAAGGGCTTGGAAAGATGCAGAGGGCAGAAGGTTCAGACTGGTAGATAATTGCACCCCCAGACTTATCCAGACACAGTGCCTTCTGTCTGGCTCCTGCACCATCACCCAAGGTGTTGTCCTCATGTACTCATAGCTGACTTGTCCAGCACACATCAGTGCATAGCTGTGGGCAGGGAGAAATGAAAGGATGAAGGGCGGGCCCTTTCCTACAGATGCTTCAGCTCGCTTCCTATTGTTTAAAGATGCAAGTAACTGTAAAGGAGGCTGAAAGAAAGTAGTCTCTGGCTCCATGGCCTCTGTCAGATTAGTGATGGGAAGATTCTATTACTAGAAAAAGAGCACCATGGACATGGAGCGTCACAGGATGTCAACTACTGTGCCCAAAGTATAAGACCCTTCCTCCTAAATCTAAGATGTAGTTTTGCTTTGTTTTGTTTTTTACTCTTGGTCTTGGGGGGGGGGCTGCCACTCAGCTCCCAAATAATTACATGGAGACTTATTCTTTTTATGAATGTTGGGCATTAGCTTGGCTTATTTCTAACCAGCTTTTCTTAAATTATCACGTCTAGCTTTTGCCTCTGGGCTATTACCTTTCTCTATTTCTATGTATCTTTTCTTTCCTTCTTATTCCGTGTCTGGCTAGGTGGCTGGCCCCCAGAATCCTCCTCTCCTTCCCCTTTTTTTGTTCCTCAATCTTCTCTTCCCAGATTTCTCTTCCTATTTATTCTCTTTGCCTGCCAGCCTCACCTATCCCTTGCCTGCCTAGCAACTGGCTGTTCAGCTCTTTAGTAGACCAATTAGGTGTTTTAGGCAGTCAAAGTAACACAGCTTCACAGAGTTAAACAAATGCAACATAAAAGAATGCAATACATCTTTGCATCATTAAACAAATATTCCACAGCATAAATTAATGTAACACAACTTAAATTAGCATTCTAGAACACTAAACCTTGCACCCAGATGAAAAGACAAAATTCATATTTCTCTTATGTATTAGTCAATCCAGTATAAACAAAAGTCACTGGGAAGGGCTTCCTAGGAAGAGTGAATTGCCCTTCACCTCTTCATCCCTTTTCCTGTTGCTTAGACAGATGAATGGATCCTGTTTCACAGTCTATATCTGCTTATGAGTAATGGCTAGCTGGCAGGCTGTGTGCTGGAGATGGTTGATACAAGGGAAAGAGGAACTGGGAGGTTCCTTGACCTAGGAGCACCACAGCAATCCTGAGCTGTCACACTTCTTTATTTCAAAGGAGAAATAGGTTTTGCATTTAAGGTACTTTTAAAATGATGATCAAGCAAATGTTATACCTAACTAATTGAAAGTATTCAATTAAATGAAACAGCAAAAGGCAAATACAACTTTCAGCAACCATGGAGGACCCTGAGGAGTAGCTCTAGGTGCCAACCAAGTAAGTTCTCTGTTGTGTTTTAATCAGTAACTCAAGTAAAATTTTATCCTTCTCAAAGATCTCTGATGCAATTTGACAGCTGAGAGGTTTTGTCAGTTTAAAAGGACAGGCTCGGGCTAGAGAGATGGCTCAGCGGTTAAGAGCATTACCTGCTCTTCCGAAGGTCCTGAGTTCAAATCCCAGCAACCACATGGTGGCTCACAACCATCTGTAATGAGGTCTGGTGCCCTCTTCTGGTCTGAAGGTATACACGTGGACAGAATATTGCATACATAATAAATAAATGAATATTTAAAATAAAATAAAAGGACAGGCTCACCAAACAAATTTCAGTAAATTACAAATACAAGTTATTAAGGTGTGTGTACCTGCAAGTTATAAAGGTATGAGGACAGGTGCACGCTATCAAATTTCTCTCTCCCACTGCCTTTCATATTCTTAAAGATACTTTCCATTGTGTAAAAATATCTGGCGCAGTCATTCTGACATAAATCTGCTACTGTTTATACAATGTATATGTCTAAAACTACTGTTTTCACAAACCCAAAAAATTCTTGTGAGTTCCAGGGAGCTGAATTGAAGGATCCACCTTAAACAGGCCAAATACACCCCCCTCAATTCCCTGGTTCTAATTTTTTTTTCTTAAACATAACATTGTCGTCTGTTCTGCTAAAACCTTAAACAGGTATAAGAGACACCAGACATTTCCATACCACAAACACAGGACAGGAACAAAGAGACCAGCTATGCCATGATGTGACCAGTGCCCAGCCTTCTCAGGTCCCCCCCCCCCCGCAAAGACGACACCCACAAATAAGCAGGAAGCAGTCTTGAGAATCTGCTGCCCCAGTTCCTTTAACCTGTGGTGCCTAACCTCCCGCCTTTTTATTATAAAAAAGAGATGGGAATGTAACAATCTGTCCTGTCCTTTAAAGAGACAAGCCCCACCTTCTCCCTCCCCTGTCCACTGAGGCAGGCAGATCTTCCTTCCTGCTTGCAGCCTGACTCTCTTCCTTTTCTGTCTCTCTCTAGAAGAGGCAGCTTCTGCCTCACTCCATTCTCTCCACTTCTCCCCTTCCTCCTCTTCTGTTTCTCTCTCTCTCTGCTCTTCTCCCCTTCTCTCCTTTCTCCCATAACCCACTAAATAAATATCCAACCTCACTCTGCATGGCATGCTATCCATGTCTCTGTCTCTTGCCTGCCGCATGTCTCCCTGCCCAGGATCAGCCACCTTCAGAGACCTGTGGCGTAGTCTCGTGACATGCCCATCCATCTGTCTCTCCTCATGGCCTACTGCAGCCACTCGGGGAAGTGCACCGTCCCTGCCTGGGACTGCTTGCTCTCAGGACCTGCTGTTCACTGCCTGCCACCACATGGCCAACTGCCACCACTTGGGGACCTGCAGCGTTTCTGCCTGCTGCAGCAGCCAGGAATCCATAGCATTTTATTTAATCCATTACACTTATTGTTTTTTTTTTAGGCTGTAATGAGATACAATGATCAGAAAATTATAACATTTAACAGTAAGTATACGTACATTTACACACAGTTGAATTTAAGTTTTATACACATATACACACAGAGTTAAAGCTAACTTATGTTTATACATAAAGTTAACTCAAAAGTCACATTCTTGCGTGCGCGCACACACACACACACACACACACATTAAACAGGAGTTGGGCGAAGTGGATGTTCTGGTGGGCCCTACTGAAAGCATGCCACTGTGTGAAACACACATGTAACAGAGTCAGTAAGCAGAATTTAGATACAAAAATGTAAGTAATCCATGAGACCAGGCAAGGAATACCTCAGTAAAGATGGTGACTTGGTTATCTAACCTGCCCTTAGTTAAGATGGTGGGACTTGGTCACCTGACCTGCCCTTAGTCATGATGGCGGTGAGGTCATCTAACCTGCTCTTAGTCAAAATGGCAGCAGTCACATGTTACAGGAAGAAACCACATTTTCAGAGTCGCAGCAAGGATTTTAAACAGATGGAAATAACAAGAGTGACATAGAAGCAGTGTAGAACATATATTTAAAACAGAATCATATTCACATGGCCACACCATTTACACATTTCTACATAAATGAAGTAGACAGGAAAATTACTCAGCACTGCCAGCCGATGACGGGAGTGAGGGCAGGGAGTGGAACAGCAGCCTCGGATTTAGCCGGTTTTGCTGGTTACTGCAGGACCAGCAGTTGTAGCGGTGGCAGAGACAGAATAGGAGCAAGAAAAGGAGTAGGAGGGGCTGGAGAGATGGCTCAGTGGTTAAGAGCTTTGCCTACTCTTCCAAAGGTCCTGAGTTCAATTCCTACAACCACATGTGCTCACAACCATCTGTAATGAGGTCTGGTGCCCTCTTCTGGCCTGCAGGGATACATACATTCAGAATACTGAATACATAATAAATAAATAAATCTTTTTTTAAAAAGAAAGATAAGGAGTAGGAGCAAGAAAAGCATGTTTACAGGTGGGTGGGGTTGCCCAGAGAAAAGAAAAGCAGACGGGCAGCGTGAGATGTTGGCAATGCTGGTGGGACACCAACAGTGAGGAGCATGGATGAATAGAAACTTTTTAATCTGCCTGTTCACTGATGGAATTACAAAGCTCCCACTTTAGGTTGTTGTTTAAGAGGTATGTAGGCCATTTGTTACTGCAAAGATGGGTAAGGTTAGAAATCCGTAAGTAGACAGAGGATTTTAGGGTCTGTAAAAGACATCTTGGGGGGAGATTGGACTGATAGTTTTGAGGGTTTTTTTCTCATGGCTAAGAATGTGAGAAAGGCGGGGACCCAATGGCAAAGATGTTATTCACGAACATCTTTAGAATAAAGCGAGGATCACAGGCTAGGTCAAACCAATTTGAGACCTGTCAGTACAGGAATTGGGGACCAGATAGGACCACTCCAAGTAGCCTGAGAGAAGTCAAAAGTCCAAGCAGTGAGGAGCCAAATCTCAGTCCTTAACTGTGGGGAATAACCAGAGATGAATGTCAGCGAAAGGCTCAACCGTGGCCTTGGAGGCCATGGTTGAGGGCATTCCCCCATTTCTAGGATTTCTGGGAGCTCAATGGTCAAGTCCTTAAGTTCAGATAAACAGTTAAGCTGACCAGAAGGGAAAAAACTCACTGATCATATGCGTAGAAGTCGGCAGCCAGGCAGATGGAATGTGGGCTGTTGTGGAGAAACCTGGTCTAGGGTCCCAGGGGTGGGGGGCAGGAGAGCCTATGGAGTCTTGGCACCAAAGAAATTATTTATAAAGAGATGGGGCCCAAGGCTGGTGCCACAAGGGGTGGCAGTCCCATGAGAGGCAGCAGCGGGCCACTCAAGGTCTTGATGGGTCCCCTTGGTGGGTGGGAGACTGAAGCAGGTGAGACAGACAAATATGCCATGCAGAGAGAGCTGGGGTAAAGAGTTTATTTAGTGGGTTATGGAGGGAGAAGGGAAAGGGAGGGAGGATGGAGAGAAGCAGGGGGTGGGGGAGAAGAGAGAGAGAGAGGCAGAAGCTGCCTCTCCAGAAGGGCAGACAGAGAAAGGTCAACTGGAGAGGAAGTAGGAGGTCTGCTCGCCTTGGCAGGGAGGTGGGGAGGTTGGGAATGGGTGGAGTTTATCTCTTACAGGGACAGGGTACCCAGGTGACAGACCAGGCCAGCAGATTACAACACTCATGACTATTAGGTAGAGCATAGAGAGGCATTTTAAAGCATAACAAACCTCTAGACTCCAGTAACCCAAAGCTGGGGTGCACCAGCAGTTGAAACCTATATAAGATGCCCCCACTTTGCTGTAGCTCACCTGCCTGATATTCCACCACGGATACGTTGATAGCGTGTTAACTTATGACCGTCCTCGTTCTGTGTCATGGAAAGTGTTGCTGGGTGCTGTGTTGTTGTGACCCCTGGCATCATCCTACGGGTGTCAAAAGTGAAAATATGGAAAATGATCTGGGTCCCTGATGTCAGCGAGAAGTTAAGCGGCTGAGCTGTGGAGGTCATTTATCACAGTTTTTTGTTTATATGAGAAAATACTTTCCCCTTATTGTTGAAGATGGTTCAATCTAGAAAGGAAGGGTTTCACTGTCGGAACACTGGCACGAAGGCAGAGCAGCATCCTTTTATATCACTGAAGCTCAGAGGTGTCAGGGTTAGATTTGAATACAAAATCAACTATAAAGAAATATTACATAGGCTGGAGAGATGGCTCAGAGGCCTAGAGCACTAACTGCTCTTCCAGAGGTCCTGAGTTCAATTCTCAGCAATCACATGGTGGCTCACAGCCATCTATAATGAGATCTGGTACCCTCTTCTGACATGCAAGCATGCATGGAAGGAATGTTGTATACATAATAAATTAAAAAAAGAAATATTACATAAATAATATACATTAATTGGCATTACTATAACAAAATATTTGAGATAATCAGTCAATAAAGCAGAAAATTTATTTTCATCATGACTTTGAAGGTTTTGGTCCAGTGTTGGTTGACATGCTGCTTCAGGGCCTATGACAAGAGAGTATGTTCTGAGACACTTGGCAGAGGAGACAGATAGGAAACGGTGAAACTGAGGAGGGGCTGAAGTCCCAATGGCCCTACTTCCAGGGACCCAATTTCACTAGGATCCATGTCTTAGATATTTTACCACCTCGCTAGAGCTTGACAGACTAATGACCAAGACCTTAAGGCATGTGGGTCTCCAGGGGAACAGTTATCCAAAATTATAAATGATTTCTATCTTGGGGAACCACTTTTGTGCTTGAGGAATTTTGATGCTATAACAAAACATTCCACCCGTAATTAAATAAGGCCATAACTGAATACGGTCACAGGTTCTTACCTGTGACCAAATCCTGGAACAGGAACTCACAAAGTGTTCTTACTGACTAGTAAGGCAGACGAGATCATTCAGGTTTTAACATCTGAATACCCAAAGGCTGCTTTGCTGAAGTCTGGGCCGTATGGACCTTGGTAGTGATTTGGTCATGCCAACATGAGTGTTGATGTCTTTGAAAATGGGTTAGAAGAAACATGAACTTTATTGGTTCTCATATATTGTCCAGCAAGTTCTCAGCCCTGCTTGGTTCTGATCAGCTTCTAGATACTGTTGGAGAGAGTGTATGTGGAATGAAGCTGAAGCCATGCTGGAGATCCCACAGACTGCTTGACCTTGGTTGAACAGAACATCCACATGGGTATGGACAGTGTAACGTAACATGCTGGATGCCGTGATTACCTCCATATACCTCAGCCTCTCTAACAGCTATCTGCCTTCAGGCTCTGTGCCCAACATAATCTCCTCATGACTACTGGGTAAAACTCTTGGAATTCATTACTAAGTTGAACAGATCTTTGCCAAACCTAAAGTTGAGAATCTCTAAGAAAACACACGATACTTAACTGGAGGGAAGATATTATGGTCAAGAAAGCAGTTTCCCCGAGCAAGACTTACATCCTTCACACCTGGGAGGTACTGAGCCAAGATTTTCCCAAATGCAGGAAAGTCGACTGCATACTTTGTGGTCGTGGGAGATGGTATTCATACGATTATCCAATTTATTGATTTATGACTTTCTTTGTCCTGTGTCTATAAAAGTTTGTTTACCCTTCCCATGGCAGACTACATCATTAAAGTAAGCTGTCATGTTTCCAGGTCATGCTCACTCATACTGAGCTCAAAATGAGCAATTTTCTCACAGCCAATTAGAGCAGAGCTATGAGACTTGAGCAAGGAAGCCTAGCCAGACCTGCCCAGAGTCCTCATGGACCCTCGGCGGAGTAGTTCTTCCTCCTGGGTTGAGGATCATATGACTGACAAGGAAGGTGAGGTCTTTATGATCCATCCTTACATTGAGGAGGGGGTGCCATCTAGGAAGAGGGGTTCCAGACTTTATGACCTGCACTGGAAGAAAGAATTCTGGTTCCTATATTCCTCCTTGAGGAAGAAAGAGCAAAGAAAGGGTAGTAATGAGGTTAGGAGGTCTGGAAAAGAATTAGTCTCTGCTTTCCTTCCATTTCAAAGTTTTCTGAGTCCTAACAATAGCTGATGGGTGATTCTGTAGAAGCCCTGTAGGAACAAGGCTACACAAAATACATACCACAAGCTGGCCAAAACAAACCAAACAAACAAAGAACCAGGCATGGTAGCCTGTGCCTGCAGTCACACTACTCAGGAGATGGCGGTCAGAAGATCAGAAGTTCAAAGTCATCCCTGGCTACATAGCAAGTTCTAGGCCAGTCTGAGTTACATGAGACCCCGTATTCAAAAACAATAAAAAATGTCATGGAAGATGGGTTTGACATTGTGTGACACACTGCTTTTAGTTCCAGCACTTAGGAGATAGAGGCATGCAGATCTCTATAAGTTTAAGGGTAACGTAGTCTACAAAGTGAGACCCCGATAAACCATACAACCTCAAGGAAATAGCAAAGGCAGGATAGAGCCTCTAGCTTCTGAGTAGAGCTGGGGCTAGACTACTCTCTTTGAAAGCACTAATTACAAGGCATTGGGTTACAGGTCTGTTGCTTAAAAAAAAAATCAGTCATGGTCTAGAAAAGAGATGTTCCAAACTTATTGCTGCAAAAAAAAATATTCTTTTTTAAAGCCTGTTTATACAGAACTTTTCCAGAGTCGTGTCCTAGTGGACATGATACTCACAGTGGAGCAGGCACCTTACCCGAGACGTCTCACCCATGTGTAGATGTCATTGTTGACTTGGCGCTGGGAACTGTAAAACTCCAACGCAAAAATACATAAATAAATAATAAAAATAAAAATAGAAGGGAAGAAAGAAAGAAGAAGCTATTATAGGGACAGCAGGGTGGATGAACAGGAAAAACATTGTTAGACAAATCTAGTGAACTGAACCCCATTTCAAAAGCCCACCATGGAAAGAACCCATTCCCAATAGCTGTTCTGTGAACCCCACAAGATCTTGGTGGCCTTCTTGTGCCCCATGTACTCAAACACATATCATAGACACATAAAATAATTTTAAAAAGACCTTTTAATGAGTTGGAAATGCAAATGGCTAAAATCAATCCCTTGTTATTTAGAAGCGTTATCTAGGAGCTGGTGAGATGGCTCAAGGGGGAATACATTGCCGCCAAGCCTGAAGACCTGACTTTGAACCCTGGAACTCACATGGTGCAAGTGGAGAACCAACTCCTGTCCTCTGACCTCCACGTAGCCCTGGTAGCATGCCACCGACCCACCTTGTGCACAATAATAAATAAAAATCTAATTAATTTATTTTTAAGAACTGAATACCAGGTTTCCCACTAGTGTTTGCAGGCAGAATTTGCAAACAGGTAGGACCAAGGACACTTTGTAAAGATGACTGGGCTGTCGGGTGGAGGGGAAGTGAGATGTGGACTGAGAGGGAGAGACACACACCTGTAGTGGCATTGTCCAATTTCTCTGAGTTTTTAATAATCGTGCTTCACATACCAGTGGTACTCCTAACTCAATGGGGTCTTAAACCTGTTTTTATGACACCGAGGTTATGATAACCCAGGGCTGGTGCAAACCGGGAGAGGATGCCCAGTGTAAGAAAATGAGACCCCGAGAAAAGCATAAGCATCTTTAAATTATCTGAACGAGAGGCTACTAAGACCCAATTGCCTACACCTCCCAGGCCAGGTTGCAGGCCAAGATCAGGGCAGACAATCGCTCTTCTAAGGGTGAAGTCCAGCAGCGGAGCCTGGCTGTGTGACCTTGTCAGGCTGGGAGTCGTCTTTGGAAGACGCAAGTGGAGCATTTTAGTCTTAATACTCTGGGAGAGCAGCGCCGCGCCCACCCCGCCTGCAGCTCATGGGCTCCGGGGGGCGGGAGGGAGGTCGTATTAGCCCCGCCCGGCCGCCGCAGGCTGCGCAGCTCCGCAAGCTCCCGGCCGCGTCCTCCC